TTTTGCTTTCCATTTGCCTGAAGGCCAGAGATTCCCCTCTGCCCACTAGGGCCCAAAATTTGTTCTGGCCCACCCTAGCAAATCGGAGTTCCAGCATGGGCCAACCCTGACTCCTAGGGGAAAAAATCTCAGACACTGATGGAAACATGGTTAAAAAAAAAAAAAAAAAAAAAAAAAAAAAAACAAACAAACAAACAAACAAACAAACAAACAAACAAACGAACAAACAAACAAACAACTTAACTTGATTTTGGCAGTGTAGCGGAGTCAATTTACAGCTTTGTCTAGTTATTTGTGAAAAATGTTAAAGCAAGTCGAAGTGGCTCAACTAGTTAAATGTGCTGCTACGAACGGTAAGAGCGTGTTCCTACTAACCCCCATCAGGCTAACCCCTTGTTAGATTCAGCTTAAACACCAAAATTTCGGATTAAACATGTTACGTATTAGTTTTTTTTGCTCGTTTCTGAAGTGCGCGACAAAATGCGTTAGGTGACGTGGCAATGCGCAACGCTCCCGAAAGGTTGGAAAGGAACAAAGTTTCCGGAGTTCAGACAAATTTAAGGCATTTCAAATGTGTGTTGTCGGAAATTTCTTTGTATGCTTCATACCCGACATAACAACACATATGAAAGATTTGGCGCGATTGCCTGACAAGGCTAGCTGAATTAGCAGGTGTCAAAGATTTCACGCGACCAATTCATCTAATAGCAATGTAATTTTCCAAGTCTGAAAAACGGCGTTTTTTACGAAATCGCTCGCATGGACCAGTCTGACAAGGGGTTAGCCTGATAAGGGTCCGTAGGAACATGCTCTAAGGTATTAAGTTTAATACCCATGACAGGAAATTACGGTAGTACAGAATTCGCTGGCGATGTTTTGCACAAAATCCACCCTATCCTTGCTACGAAAGATTTTGTATCAGGATAACTGGGTCAAAACACAGATGAAGTCACGAGTAACAATTGCTAACTCAAATCTCATAATGGTAATACAAATCAAACACTTTTTTTGTCAGGGTAAGAAGCTTGGGAGGCTGACTTGTCATGGTAACAAAAAAGGAGGGCGCCAATCAGGGCAATCAACGTATTTTACCCTAACATTTTGGAGCCTGCTACCACCAGGCGAAGAGCGCGACTGATGGACCAGGAGACGATGAAGAATATGCTGACGCAAATGGCTGAATGTCAGGCAACAATGAAGACGCTATTGGCCGAAGTGACAACACTGCGTGAGGAAAACACCGAGCTACGCCATACACGAGGTAAAGCGCGTCCAAATTTGCCCAAAGATAAGTCCCATGCCTGATGTGCTTGCAACATACTTCGCCGCCCTCTTAGCAGCAAACCGTTGAGAAGGTCGGGGCCTCCCAGGTTCAACAAAGCGCGCCAGGACGCTTAGAGGGAAAGCTAGGTCTGGGCGAGTACAGGTCATCAGGTATATGAGACAACCCACCAGCTCAGAATATGAACCACTAGGCTCAAATGACTCGTCCGAAGGTGGAGCCGTGAGCCCATGATCCACAGCAGGAGGGGTGAGTTGTACCTTGGAGAACGGGCAGCGGAACCGCGTGAGGATCTGCTCGACCATATGCGATTGCGTCATCGTAACGGTGTGAGCTGCCCTGTTTCTGGTGGTTTGCAGGCCAAGGTAGTGCTGCAGCTCACCAAGGTCAGTGCAAGTGTGTCTCCTCTGCAGTTCATCCTTTCACGGAGGCCAGTACGCATCGGTCGAGAGTGGCAAAGACCAGGTCATTAGCGTAAATCAGAATGAAAAACGGGGTCAAGGTGAAGCGTATAAAACAACGACGAGTCGGCAAACGAGTGAATGAAGTCAAGCACTGCAAGAGTCATTCGTAGTATGTCGTGCCACTTGCGGGGAGCCTAGTGCATGCCATAGACCGGTTGACGCAGCTGCCACTGGGTCCCAGCAAGAAAAGAGCCAGTGAAGCTAGGCAAGCGACGCAGCTAGATCTGCTCGTAAGGGCTCCCTTAAGAAATGCGGTGGAGAATTCTAAGGAGTGCAATTCGTAGTCGTGCTGGGCTGCAATGTGCAGCAACACCCGAAGAGTGGTCATCTTTGGGGTGGGAGTGAAGGTCTGGAGGAAGTCTACCCCCTCTCGTCGACTAAAACCTCTTGTCACACAGTGCGGCTTGAACACCGGTGGTGCTCCAGGCGGCCACTTCACCTTGTAGAGAGCCATATGCCACTGGGAGAGAATATTAAATCCTCGAAACGCTCGACCTTTATCAACACTGCGGAGTAGGGTCCCGAACTTTTTAGGTATCTAAAGTTTTCTAATTCTCCCTTGATTTCTTAAAAGGCTAGAAAAAAATTGAGTGATTATATTCTTAGTCAAAGTGCCTTTGTAAGATAACCTTAGAAATTGATGGGCGTCGCTCTCTTTCGCGCTAGGATCGAGCGCCTCCAATAGCCTCGGCTTCGCTGCTTCGAGGTTGACTGTAGCTGCTTCTATTGTCGTAGGTACAATTGTCGGTGTCGCCGCCATCGTTGCTGCTGCTGCGGCTACCGATTGGTTTGCACACACACACACACACACATATATATACATATATAGAGATAGATAGTCGTAGGAGCGTCGCACATGTCTACTCCTGCTCGGCGCATAACTCCGCAATTTCCCGTGCGAATTTATCTCCAATTTCCTCCATTTAGCGATTTACAGGAAGATTTGTGACGAGAATAATAAAATATAGTAAGGAACGTTTCTAAGGAAAACAAGGAAAAGCATGCATAAGAAAATATAACCAAGGTAAAGCATAATAAGGTAAATTCAAGTAGGCAGTGCCGTCGTACTCTTATGGAATGGAAGGGACACCAGCAATTGTTTAGCTCCTGAAAAGTCGCCTTAGCTTCCTCCCACCACACAAGATTCATGTCGGTGCGGAGTGCGTGTGTGGCCAAGAACAGAGTTTTGACTCATGTGGGAGCAGACAAATGGGTGCCCTATGTGGAGTGGCTTGGAAGGAAGCCAAAGGTGGATATGCTTCGGGTGTTCGGGTGCATGTGCATGGCGCTCGTGCCTAATCATCTTCGGCACAACCACAAGGAGAGTTCCGGTTTGGAGCATGTGGAGCTGCCTTTGGAGCTGAGCAGCGGCAGCACCACCACAAGGCAATCTTCCCTTGTGAATGGGGGAGAGGAGGCCAAGGATGCAGAGGAAGAAGAGGAGGAGGTGCAGCAAGTGAGCGAGCGTGCACCGACACTTCCTTCTCGCACTACGAGTGCTCCACGGATCCGAGCCACACCGCAGCAACGCCAAGGCCTTCAAGTCCCTGCAGTTGAGGAGGAAGAAAGGGTCAAGAGGAGAGTTCAAGCCTCTAATAGGCTGACGTATGATGCGCCGGGAAAGCAGGGCAAGACAGCCCTGGCCGGAGCGGCAATGATGGTCGGAGATGATGAGGAAAGTGACTACGAGGAGTGTGCCTTCGTATTCTTCTCTCCGGTGGAGTTGCTGGGAGAACCAGCAACTCTCAAGGAGGCCTTGGAGAGTAGTGATGCTGAGGAGTGGAAGAAGGCAATGGAGAGCGAGCTGAAGAGCATTGAGGAGAACGACACATTTGAGTTGGTGGAACTACCGGGGGGGCGTAAGGCTATTACGTCCAAGTGGCTAGCTGTTTGCTTCTGTGGTGAAGCCAACGACGTTGCGGACCCTGCTCGTGGGAGCCACGATCAAAGGAATGGGTGGTGAAGCAAATGGACATCACATGGGCGTTCCTCCACGGCATCCTCTAGGAAGAGATCTTCATGGCGCAGCCAGAGGGGTTTGATGATGGTAGTGGCAGAGTGTGGAAGTTGAAGAAGGCTCTCTATGGGCTCAAGAAAGCCCCTAGGCAGTGGTACTTGAAGCTGCGTAAAGTGTTGGAGGAGATCGGCTTCACTCCCTCAACGGCCGATCACTCTTCCATGCCGTACGGGAAATTGTTTGGCAGCGGCGTTTGTTGGCCGAAATGGGGGAGGAGCAGCAAGTACCTACACCACTCTACTGTGGCAGCCAAGGTGCCATTGCTCTTGCTAAGAACCCTGTGTTGCATGGCCTCACGAAGCACATGAGGGTGAAATGGCACTGGACGAGGAGCATGGTGGCCGTAGGTGAAGCCACCTGACATGATGACCAAGAGGCTGGTGGAGCAGCAGCATTGGAAGTGTTGCAAGCTGGCAAGGATGGCTCTGAACTGAGAGAGCAAGATCCTAAGGCCAACAATCCGAGGGGGAGTTTGTTGGTGCAACCCTACGGTTTGCACTCGGCTTGTTGTCCGCGTGTGTGCATGCGTGTGTGCCTAGAATGGTATTTCATGGTTATAACAGTGTGTGAATGATGAGTCATGATGTCGAGTGTGTGTGTCGAGTCAATAGCGAGTTATTGCCAGTCGCGTGTTATGCGATCGTTTGTGTGTCTCGCGCGGCTTCTACTTTGTCGTGTGTTGAACGTTCGGCGTGTCGCAGCTGTATGCAGCAGACCCTTCAAGAACTCAAGGACGAGTTTGTGATGAAGACCTAGAGCCTTGGTGTCAAGACTCGAGTGATGTCGAAGCCCGCGAAAAGGGTACACTTCAAGATAGTGAGAATAGTTACATTACTTTGTGTAGTGTAACATTTAACTTGGTGTATACCCTTGTGTGTCAGAATAACTGAGCAGGAATGGGATGAACTAGCACAGAGTTTGGTACAAGTAGGAAACCCTAACTTTGAGTACCCCCTAAGGTGTAACCCACTACAGCCTACATAATATAAACATGCAATGTTTGACACACCCCCATAGGCGCAGTGGGAGACAACCACAGGGTCACAAGACCAGTCAAAGCAAAGCAAAGCAAGCTCAGGGTGGATCTCAAGGATTCCACACAAATTCCGAGCACAAGCAAGCGGTCACAAGACCAGTTCACATGCAGGTTTATAACAAAGCAAGAGATACAGTGATCACAACCTAGCAAAAGTAAACAAGTAGGCATATATATATAGTGATCACAGTACAAGCAAGGTCAAGAGGTAAGCAAGTGAGGCCCAGTAGGTACAAGGCCTAGCAGCGTGCAAAAGCGCTGATGGTCACAAGGCTGAAGCGCCTTGGTGAACACATCAGCAGTGTTGGCCTCCGTGGCCACGTAACGCAGACAAAGCTGACCACGCTGCTGCAGCTCTCGAGCAAGGAAGTACCGCAGAGCGATGTGCTTCGTTCTGTGCTCCAGTCTGTGCTCCTCACACAAGGCAATGGCAGCCTTGTTGTCGACGTACAGCACTGGAGGAGAACGAGGCCGCTCTCCGAGGTCGGTCAGCAGGTAGGTCAGCCAGCGTAGCTCCTGAGCAGCCATGGCTGTGGCGTAGATCTCAGCCTCACAACTGGAGCTGAGAACAGAAGAAGAGCGAGTAGAACGCCAAGAAACTGAGCCAGAGCCAAGGCTGAAGGTGTAACCCTGGGACGACCGCTGAGTAGCCTGGTCGTCTGCCCAAGAAGCGTCTGAGTGCCCTGTGAGAACAACCCGGTCTCGCCCTCCAAGCACAAGCCCCATGCCCGACGTACTGCACAAGTAGCGCAACACCCTCTTAGCAGCATCCATGTGCTCCTTCCGGTGACGGCCAGGAGCGACATAGCGTGCTAGGATGCTAAGAGGGTATGCAAGGTCAGGTCGAGTGCAGGTCATCAGGTACATGAGGCAGCCCACAAGCTCTGGATACGGGCCACTCGGCTCTACGGACTCATCCGAAGGCAGAGCTGAGAGCGAGTGACCGGTAGGCAGAGGAGTGGACTGAGGCGAGGAGTACGTGAAGCGGAAGCGCTGGAGAACCTGCTGCACCATGTGTGACTGAGTCAGGGTGATGGTGCGCCGTGCTCTGTCCCGGGTGATCCGCAAGCCAAGATAGCTCGTCAGCTCACCCAGGTCTGTGCACGTGTGTCTCCTCTGCAGCTCCGACTTCACGTGAGCGAGTGCCGCGGTGTCAGCAGTGGCAAAGACCAAGTCGTCGACGTACACGAGGATGTAGAACGGCGGCAGCGAGGTGTCGGTGCGTAGAAACAGCGACGGGTCAGCAGTAGAGGGAGCGAACCCAAGAGCCGCAAGTGTCGTCCTCAGTGTGTCGTGCCACTCACGTGGCGCCTGGCGGAGACCGTAGACCAGCCGCTGAAGCCTCCACTGGGTGCCAGGAGGAACTGACCCAGTGAAGCCAGGGGGGCGGCGCAGCCAGATCTCCTCGTGCAGGCTGCCCTGCAAGAAAGCAGTGCTGAAGTCAAGAGAGTGAAGCTCGTAGTCGCGGTGAGCGGCTATGTGCAGCAGCACCCGAAGAGTAGTCATCTTTGGGGTGGGGGAGAAGGTCTGAAAGAAGTCTACTCCCTCTCGCTGACTGAAGCCTCGAGCCACGTAGCGCGCCTTGAAGACAGGTGGAGAACCCGGCGGCCGCTTCACCCTGAAAATCCACATGCCACTGACGATGTTCGCCCCAGGAGGGGGAACCTCGTCTACGTAGGTGCCTGTGGACTTCCAGGAGGCCATCTCTGCGTCCATGGCTGTCTGCCACTGAGAGGAGTAGGGACCCGCCATCGCCTCAGCGTAAGAGCGTGGGGTCGGGATGTCTGGTGCATCCGGGTCTCCCTCAGGGGCAACTAGCAAGGACACGAGACGGGGCAAAGCAGCAGCAAGGCAGTGGAACTCCTCCTGTCTGTCCTCAAGGACGTCCGTGCCGAGGGCACACTCACCCCCGACGGACGGAGGACAGGCAGACGCAGACTCAGACCTAGCGACAAGGCTGGCAGCGTAGTCTAGGCGACAGCGAGCAGCAAAGTCAACCAACTCAGTGACCAGAGCAGACGCAGCAGAGGACTCAAAGGTCGGGTCAGTGACAACTGTAGCGAGGAGACGCGTAACAGTGGGACTGGCAGCACGACGGGAGTCAGACTCCGGGTCAGGAAGAGTAGGAAGAGAGGACGCAGGAGGAGACGGCAGCGGGACACGCTGCGGAGCAGTGGAGGGACGCAGAGTCATGTAGTGAGTGCCAGGGACAGGAGGAGGACGCTCACGTGGGACACGACGACCAGTGCGAGCAGTACGAACAGGCGACGCAGGACGAGACTCAGGCTCACGACGCTCTGTAAGACCTCCTGTGGGACCAGTGTAAGGGGAGGGAGCAGGGAGAGGCGAGGCAGGCGGTAACTGTGACTGCGGCTGGACAGGCAGAGGACACTCGACGGAGGGAGGAGGACTAGGAGGAGGAGCCTGACCAAGAACCTGCTGAAGGAGCGGTACGAAGTACGGTCGCGGCCGCGCAGCGTCTCCAGAAGCAGCAGGGACACCAGTGGCAGCCCCAACGCCCGAGTCCTCAGCACCAGCAGCAGCTCCAACGCCCGGGTCCTCAGCACCAGTAGGAGCTCCAACGCCCGAGTCCTCAGCACCAGCAGCAGCGCCACCGGTCGGGTCCTCAGCACCAGCAGCAGCTCCAGCCCCCAGGTCCTCAGCACCAGCAGCAGCTCCAGCGTCCGGGTCCTCAGCACCAGCAACAGCACCACTGCTCGGGTCCGCAGCACCAGGAGCACCACTACGAAGACTGCAGCGCCGCGTGTACCACTCGCGGATCACCTGAATGGGGGGGAGCTCCTGGGTAGGAGGGGAAGTACCGGGACGAGCTCCAGAAGCACCTCTCGGGAGGCGGCAGTACTCGAGGTACCTCTCCTGCAGCTGCTGGGAGGAGAGGGCTCCTCCAGGTGGAGCACGCTCAGGCTCAGCACCCCCAGACTCAGCACCCCCAGACTCAGCACCCCCAGGCTCCGCACCTCCAGGCTCCGCACCTCCAGGCTCAGCACCCCCAGGCTCCGCACCTCCAGACTCAGCACCCCCAGGCTCCGCACCCTCAGACGCAGTACTCCCAGGCTCAGCACCCCCAGACGCAGGACGCGAGTCAACAGCTACCTCGACAGGCTCACCCGGGTCTACCTGGGACACACCTGAGGGAGCGGCACCCTGAGGGGGGAGGGGGTCTGGTACCTCAGCACCTGGAGCGAGGAAGAGAGGTGGGGGGGGGAGCGGGGCAGTGCGGTAGGGGAAGAGGCGGTAGAAGGGGACGGACTCGTCAAAAGTGACGTCCTGAGAGGCCAGAACCCGGCGCGAGGTGACGTGGTAAAACTGCCAACCAGGCGCGTCGGGAACAAAGCCAAGAAAGACACAGGGAACAGCGCGACGCGAGAGCTTGTCCGCGGACGTGTCGCGGACAAAAGCTCGAGATCCCCAGACCCGGAAACGCGACGCATCGCCAACCTCTCCCGTCCACCGTAGAGTCGGGGAAGTCTCCGGCAAGGAGACACGGGGCCAGAGGTTGAGCTGATGCGCTGCGTACCGGACCGCAAACGGCCACAGAAAGTGGGGAGCAGCCGCATGGATCAAGGAGGTACGAGCGACCTCCATGACCAAGCCAATGCGGCGCTCAGCGACCCCATTCTGCTGTGGAGAGGCCGGAAGCGTGAACGACTGCTCAATGCCGTGCTCAGCACAGTAGGCTGCCAAGAGGTCGGAGGCGAACTCACCACCCCTGTCAGAGTGCAAGCGCAGGACAGGAAAGTCCGAGTGAAAGCGCTTGGCTAGCTGGAGACGGGCTCGGCTGATCCAGGGGATCAAAACACCAGGGACGTCACCCTTGGCGCGCAAGGGGAAGACTGTGGTGTAGCGCGAGTAGTCGTCAACAACTATCAGGAAGTACCTCTCCTGACCCTGACCACGGACGCGGGCTGGGCCCCACACGTCCATGTGGAGCGTCTGCAAGGGAGCAGTCGTCGGGGGAAAGGAGGAGGAGTGAGGAGCGGCGCGCTGCCGCCCCTCGACACAGGGAATGCAGTCAGGAGCAGGGGAGTCGGGAAGGGGAGGGAGCACCCTGGGAAGACCAGCAACAAGGTCCCGTTTGTGCATGGCCCGAAGGCGCTGCACAGACGGGTGACCAAGGCGGTGGTGCCAGAGGACAGTCTCATGCGCCAGAGAGCGACATGAGCAGGGGGCGGACAGCTGACCTGACGCAGACGCAGACGCAGCCACCTGAGGGGACTCAGTGGTCAGTGTGTACAGGTCCGACCCCGGCTCCCGAGTGAAAGTAGCCAGGTGGCGGCCCGTCCGAGCACACGTGCAATGTGTCACACGCTCGTAGGCAGGGGTGAACTGGTGAACACCCCCGTCCTGCAGAGCACAGCCCGCCACCAAGTTCGTAGAGAACGAGGGGAGGTAGAGACCTGAGAGCGTGCCGGACGGAACCGCTGGACACGGAAGTGTAGTGGAGGAGGTCGCAATGACCGGACCCCCTGAGGGGTCAGCAAGAGAGACAGCAACTGGCCGAGCGAGTGGCTCAAGGACAGTGCGGTCACGAAAGAAAGAGCGAGAAGCACCTGAGTCCAGTGTGAAGGTGTGCAGTGCTGCAGTCGACTCAGTACCAGGGGGCACAGACGCACTAGCACCTAGGGCAGCAGCCTCACCATCACCTGGGGTAGCAGACACGCGAGCACCTGGAGCGGCAGACGCACTAGCACCTAGAGCAGTAGGCTCACCAGTATCTGGAGTAGCAGACACGCGAGTACCGGGAGTGGTAGCCTCACCTGCTCCGAGGGCAACAGACGTACTGGCACCGAGAGCGGCTGCCTCACTCACAGAGCGACTACCACTACGGCCACCCCGACTGCTCAAACCGGCGTACCACTCACGAGCCTGCTGGAGCAGAAGAGGGCACGGCTGCTGCACCTGTCCACTACCGGAGCCTCCCGAACGACGGACGCCAGAGCGACTACCACTACGGCCACCCCGACTGCTCAAACCGGCGTACCACTCACGAGCCTGCTGGACCAGAAGAGGGCACGGCTGCTGCACCTGTCCACTACCTGAGCCTCCCGAACGACGGACGCCAGAGCGACTACCACTACGGCCACCCCGACTGCTCAAACCGGCGTACCACTCACGAGCCTGCTGGACCAGAAGAGGGCACGGCTGCTGCACCTGTCCACTACCTGAGCCTCCCGAACGACGGACGCCAGAGCGACTACCACTACGGCCACCCCGACTGCTCAAACCGGCGTACCACTCACGAGCCTGCTGGACCAGAAGAGGGCACGGCTGCTGCACCTGTCCACTACCTGAGCCTCCCGAACGACGGACGCCAGAGCGACTACCACTACGGCCACCCCGACTGCTCAAACCGGCGTACCACTCACGAGCCTGCTGGACCGTAGGAGGGCACGGCTGCTGCACCTGTCCACTACCAGGGGCTCCCGAACGACGCACGTCAGAGCGACTACCACTACGGCCACCTCGATAGCCCCAACTGGCGTACCACTCACGAGCCTGCTGGAGCGTGAGGGACTCACGCGCACGGTCCTGTGGCTGCATCTGGCCACGTCAGGAGCAGCAGGAGTAGCGGGAGTGGGAGTAGAAACGGCAGTAGTAGCAGTAGCAGCGGTAGCAGTGCTGGCAGGGCAATGCTCACCAGTGGTCGGCGTGGCAGGCGCAGTAGGAAGCTCCGCGGCAGCTGCTGCAGAGCTAGACCGGGCTACGGCGGCAGTTGCTCCAGGGGCGGCTGCTGCAGGTGCGGGCGGCTCCAGGGGCGGCTGCTGCAGTGGTGGGCGGCTCCAGTGGTTGCTGACGCAGTGGCGGGCGGCTGCAGGGGCTGCTGCTGCAGTGGCGGCGGCTCCAGGGGCTGCTACTGCAGTGGCGGCTGCTCCAGGGGCGAGAGGCGGATTAGGGTTAGGTGGCGACGGCGCGGGCAGGGCGACGCGGCGGGCAGGTGGCGACGCCGCGGGCAGGGCGACGGATTAGGGTTTGGTGGCGACGGCGCGGGCAGGTCGACGCGGCGGGCAGGTGGCGACGCCGCGGGCAGGTCGACGCGGCGAGGAGGTGGCGACGCCGCGTGCATGTGGCGCGGGCAGGCGACGACTCCGCGGGCAGGTGGCGACGCCGCGACGACGCCGCGGGCAGGCGACGTCTCCGCGGGCAGGCGACGGCGCCGCGGGCAGGGATCGACGTCGCGGGCAGGCGGCTTCGACGCGGGCAGGCGACGACGCCGCGGAGAGGCGGCGACGCTGCGGGCAGAGCGACGCGGCGGCCGGCTAGGGCCTGCAGGGGCGGCGCGCGTGGCCTGACGGGTCTGCAGGGGCGGCTCTCGGGCCTGACGGGCCTGTAGCGGCGGCTCGGGGGCCTGACGGGCCTGCAGCGGCGACTCGGGTGCCTGACGTGCCTGTAGCGGCGGCTCAGGTGCCTGACAGGCCTGCAGCGACGGCTCGGTGGCCTGACGGACCTGCAGGGGCAGCTCGAGGGCGCACGAGGGCGCACGAAGGCGCACAAGGAGAGAAAGGCGCACGAGGGCGCACGTAGGGTAGGGCGCACGAGGGCGCACGTAGGGTAGGGCGCACGAGAGCGCGTAGGCGCAAGAGGCGCACGGTAGGTAGGTAGGTAGGTAGCGGTGGGCCCTAAGAGCGGTCCTAGCGATGGACCTGCTCTGATACCATGTCAGAATAACTGAGCAGGAATGGGATGAACTAGCACAGAGTTTGGTACAAGTAGGAAACCCTAACTTTGAGTACCCCCTAAGGTGTAACCCACTACAGCCTACATAATATAAACATGCAATGTTTGACATTGTGAAGGGTAGTTTCGAGACCCTTCGTGGTTGGGGACAGTGTGGCACTGTTCCAAAACACTGTACCTCGGCTCTTGGGGTTTGTAGGAGCTGGGAGTCATTCCCAACTCGTAACTCTTCCTAATTTGTGTTCTAAGACTATAGTGGCTGTCATAATGTCGTTCGTTCAATCTAATGTTGTGTCGTCAATACTGGATGCAATCGTGCGATCTAAATTGCCTATTGCAGACAACGTCAAGACGCTCCAGATTCAAGTTGAATTATGTCACACACCATTATTTCATGCCCTCATACCATTCCATGCACACACGCATGCACGCACACGGACAACAAGCCAAGTGCAAACCGTAGGGTTGCACCAACACAATGGTGTTATTATCAATATGAGTGAGATTGGTGCTTGTGGTGCGGGCAGAAGTGGTGCCGCTTTTAGGCGGCAAGGATGCTATTAGTGTGGGCTTTCAGTGGTGTTGTTGGTGTCATCGGCAGAAGTGCCAGTGGCACCGGGTGAAGAGTCTCCGGTGTTGCGGGCAGAAATGGCGCCTGTGGTGTGGGCAGCGGTGGCATTTGCAGCAATGGTGTTATGGACAACAGTGCCATTGGTGGCTTGGGCGGCAAAGGGGCGCTGGTGCCAATGGTGTGGGCGGCCGTGATTCCGGTAATGCGTGGTGGCGGTGGTGTGAGTTTGGGCTGTAGCACAGTTTTGGATCATGGGAGCAAAATGGGTTCAAGCATGAAAACGGATAGGGATCAATCATGGAGGGTAGGAGAACATAGGATTGCCATGGGGCAACAGATCGACATGTGTTATGACATGTAGACAGGTTTGTTGAAACACATGATGCAAAATCACTTACTAAAATAGTTAGCGAAATGAGATGAAAAGTTAGCGAGAGGGTGAAAACGAAAGAGCCACGTTCACTATTGTAACATTGACATGCAGGCACTACTATAACTAATTCAGGCTTTCCAGGCACTGGGATGCCATAAAACAGAACCCTCCACTCAGGTACCATGGCAAAAAAACTGCAACGAGATTCCAATGATCATGGGTAACTGGTCATGAAGAAGTGCAGCAGCGTGAAGGATTACTTTAGCAATAGTCACGTGTTGATTTTAATGATCATGCATCACACAGTCTCACTGTCAACGGGAGTGTAGTTTGGCCCCGTCCTCGCTTGGGCGGAGCCGACCTCGTGGTCGGATGTGCGGTGGTTGCAACCGATCTGCAGCAGTGGGCACGGGGGCCACTGCAAGGGCGCCGAGCTGAAGGGCGCCTGGCTAGAGGGCGCCGAGCAGGAGGACGCCGTCCTGGACGCCTGGTTGGCGTCCTGGACGCCTGGACGGCGTCCTGGGAGGCCAGACGCCGACCTTGGCGTCTGCACGGCGTCCTAGGGACCTGGGACGCCGCCCTGGGCATCTGCACGGCGTCCTGGGGTCCTGGACGCCGACCTGGGCGTCCTGGGGGCACAGACGCCGACCTGGGCGTATGATCGGCGTACTGGGAGGCTGGACGCCGCTCTGAAGGTCTGCACGGCGTCCTGGGCGTCTAGACGCCGACCTGGGGGTTCGGACGGCGTCCTGGGCGCCTGGACGCCGGACTGGGGACGCCGGGCATGGGTGGCCGGCTACGGACTACGCTGGTCGACCAGGCGTGGTTGCCCGGTTGACCGGGATACCCGGGCGACGTGCGCGAGTGTCGCCGGGGTGGAGTTTGCGATGCCGACCTCGGGGGTGGTATCCCGAGGTCGACGTGGCTGGTGGGCGCAGTCGCTGGCGTGGAGTCTGCCAGGCGTCT